GAGACTTACTCCTTTAAGTTTCTCCAAGAATTGCGTTGACGAGCTGACTGTGGTGTTCGAATCGGAGGTCAGAAACTTGAGACGTTGGAACAGCCACTTTGCCAGTCCGTAGGTTGGAGTGCCCTTTAGTGACACGATAGGCCGGAGAGGAGCGCCCTCTTTGTGCACTTTTGGGAGACCATAGAATCGGGCTAGGGCCGTTTCTTGTGCTTTCGCCATGCGTCTGTCGATTGGCGATATTGCACCTGAGTTCTCCATTGCCAACAGCGTCGCGTTAATCTCGCGTGTCAGCGTTTTCATGGGGTTGGATTCGCATGGCACATAGGACTGACGATCCTCCAACAAGCTTTTGGCTTTTGATTGTAGTCTGTCCTGTCCAATACGACCGTTGAACGCCCCTTGTCCGCAGGCACGATAACGAGGTCGTTGTCGGCCCTGAGTTCCTTAAGTGCATTGCGCTCGACCTTGGAAAGCACATCGCGCGGCCTATGAGCCATGAGGAGGGAGGACACTTGGTGTCGAATGAGGTTCTTCGTTTCGTCTGTCGCTCCCATCTGGCTGAGGATTGATTCCACTGCTGCGATCATGTTGGCAGGTTTGGCATCGGCTGTGTTGAATGAGGCCTCATGCCGTAAAACCTGCATTTGTTCCTCCGTCAGCTCCTTTGACGACAAGTTGTGCACCAGTTTGTCGTTCTTGGATGACATTGGAGCAGGCAGCTTACGAAATTTGCTCTCTAGGGCTGCTTCTCGCGTTGACAGTGAGCCAGTTTGCCGAGCAATCGTCACAACAGCATCGAGCACGGATGACGAAATCGCGGCAATTAACAACTCGGACTCGGACCGCCAAGCCACCGCCGCATCAATTACGACCCCAGCGGCGATTGTGAGAACTGTTAATTGCAGTGCGCATACGGTCCCACGGCAGCCACGTGCTATAAATACTGCACTCCTGGTGCCACCTTCACCTCTATCTGCGAATGTCTCTGATGATGGTTTCGAGTGAGAATCCGAAACGTCAGGCAAATAAACTTCTTGTCCCAGTGATCGCATCTTCATCTTCTGAACTGCTACCTGGGACTCGCCTGTTCGCTTCTGAATAGCATTCCTTTTGACAATTCAATCTCATGCCCTTTCAGCACGATAATAACGTCCACGCAGTGAAGGAAAATCTGGGGACCACGTCAAGTCCGTCCTTGACGGAAGTTGCTACTGGATGTGCAAACACCCAGAGTCCGCGAGCAAGGCATGCAAGCAGGGCTTTTTTTCGTCACCGTCAACTAGGCGTTCATGGCCACTGAAAATGCGACCAGACCTGGACAAAAACAAGAACTGTCCCATGTTTAATCATCCCACTATTGCGGTGTGCGTGATACTGCCATAACAAAGTGGTATTACCGACGAAGACAAGAGAGACTGGAATGGCCATTGCTGGCTTATTAGCCGTCGTCAGCCCGTCATACCCAACACCGAAGTGTGGAACACCTGGGGGCTCGATCTCGCAACCTGTTAGTTAGGAGTTCCACACCTCTAACCACTGAGCCACGGGCCCGTTGTCTTGTTAGTTGCGATCAGAAATATACAACGATGGAGGAGCGACGGCTAGTAAGCCAGGAACGGCCATTCCAGTCCCCCTGGTTTTTCTCGGTAATAAAATTCGGCCTATATCATGCGCCGCTGTGCAGCAGCTACTTAGGGTTCGAGAGAGAGCCCTATGGCACAACGGGATGAATGAGTTCCGTAAAAAAGACCGGTGAGTGCCCCTACACCAATCCCATAACAAGTTGATGGTGAACAAGATGAAGCAGGTCAGCGGTTAGTGAAGGAGATTGAATGGCATGTTTGGATAACAATCTCCGAGACCAATGCAAAAATCACATCTTTATTCCGGATGGTAACAGGCTTGTCTACACTCACCTAATTGAAGTTTCGGCAGTCGTAGAATTAGACAAGAGACAAGTCCACAAACACCATTAGGTGCCTCCCGGGGGTGGTGATGGTGGTGGTGGTG